TTTTTCTCTCTGTGAATGCAGTTTTTTTGTCTGTTATTTTATGAAACTCTAAGCTGGAGTCAGTCAAACAAATTTGCAGGCTTTCTTTATCCCTCAATTATTTCTGACACAAGATTAAAACAATCAACAAATATAATAAACAGACAGGAAAAACAAGAGTTCATTCTCTTACAAATACAAAAACAATTAGAAACAAGTTGAGATATACTCATAGCCAGTCTCACATCATCATATGTGAAGAAGCATATATATATAGCATATATATATATATATATATGGAAAAGGAGAGTCACATTTGAATAACATTTTGGCTAAGAAAGAATAAAATAGAAAGAACACACTTGTATTGATCTGAAATTGCCAAATTGGTGTTTTTAACACCACTATGAGAAACTCATGATCAGCTAGCTAGCCTGTATATGAACTCCAATGGCGACAATCAAGATTGTGTAGATACAAAAGTACAAAATCGCGTGAACCAAAATCGAGATGCCACTAGTGTACATGTTGCCGAATTCAATCATCCTTGTCCTTGCTGGCAATTGGAACAGCAGCCCTGGAGAGAAGACGATGAACATCGCTACAGCCACCACTGCCGGACCCCAGTCGGCACCCATTTTTCGTGTTAAGGATTTTTCTTCTCTTTTTTCTTTTGATTTTTCTCCCTTTATTTGTGAGGTAAGATAGAGAGCGATGGGTGGTTATGCTTTGTTGTTTTTCTTAGTGTTATGGTAATGGTTCTTGGGAATAAGTAGGGGATAATTGTGTGTGTGATTACTATTAATATTTTTCTTAATGAAGAAGGTTGTAAACTTTGAGGAGAGGAAAAAGGTGATGGTGGTGGGATTTAAAAGGAGGGAAAGTATCTATGCATATAAATGCATGTTAATGACTAATGAGGCAATTGCTTTATAGAAGGTGGGGCCAGGTGGCCATAATCACTTTAAACTTTGTAAGCTTTTCAATCACTTAAACTTTGTAAGCCTTTTAATTTTTAGCAAATGCGAGTGCAACTTTTTCCCATTGCCTTTGTTGATCTGTATGAACTTATCAAGGACACAATATATGTAAAAAAAAAAAACTGTTGTATCATGTGATAAAAAGGATATAGAAAGGCAAGTGGATACCAAAAGTTGGCCATGAAGGTTTTGAGATGACAAAATGATACATAAACAACCTAGTGTACAACTAGGTTGACGACACAAGTGAAACATCCACTTGTGTATTTTTTTATTTTATTTTTATTGTATAATTTTTACTTGTGTTGTCAACCTAATTGTACACTAGGTTGGCAATGTAGCGTTACTCTTTTGGGATTGCTTGTTTTTAGGGGTTTGGTGTTGTAGCACATGCATGCATTGTGATGCATGTGAGAAACCATGTCCTAATTCCCCTTTTAGCTGTTAATAATTTTATAGATCAAAGTATCTTAAAAATGAGCTAGCCCCAAACATGCTTTTGAGACACCCAAAAAAAAAAAAAAAATGCACTTTAATATTATTTTTTAAAATAAATGTGTAATAATTACTTAAATATTAACATTTTATGATAAAATAGTTTTTAAAGTAGGATTGGTTAGTCCTATCTTATCAAACTTTAGCCCAGCAGTTGGTCAAACTTTAGCGCAATAGTCCACCGAGAATCAAAATTTATCATTTCGTAAAGACTATTTTATTTGTTTAAATGATATGTATACTATTCATAAACTAGTTATAAATAAAAAAAAATGCAATTTAATAATTAATAATAAAATAAATCAAACATAAAACAAAAATAAAATGCAAATATTTTAGTAATTTTCAATTAAAATAAAAACTTTATAAATACCAACTATAAATCAACACCAATTATATAAATCAAAACCGATTAGCCGTTTTGGCTAAAGTCTCACCTTTTAAGCCCAAAAAACGTAGGGGCATAGTGATATTCTTTTGGGGGAGGTGCTACAGTTGCTACGGTCCCGTTACGGAACCATTTTGTTGGAATTTATAACCGTTAGATCAACTATCTACGATTACATGATTATCTAACGGTTAAATCGACAATGGTTCCGTAACGGAACCTACATTTCCCATTCTTTTGTCAGATGATTGTAAATTGGCAAATACGTAGGTGTGTCAGGACCTTATGTGAATTACATCCCCTCTAAAGGCGCGTGAGAGACAAGGAGGTAAGTGTTTTTTTTTTTTTTTAAA